AAGAGAGGGTGACAGGGTGCAGGGTGTGGGGGGAAGAGAGGGTGACAGGGTGGGTGGGTGTATGGGGGAAGAGAGGGTGACAGGGTGCAGGGTGGGTGTGGAGGGGAAGAGAGGGTGACAGGGTGCAGGGTGTATGGGGGAAGAGAGGGTGACAGGGTGCAGGGTGTATGGGGGAAGAGAGGGTGACAGGGTGCAGGGTGTATGGGGGAAGAGAGGGTGACAGGGTGCAGGGTGTATGGGGGAAGAGAGGGTGACAGGGTGCAGGGTGGGTGTATGGGGGAAGAGAGGGTGACAGGGTGCAGGGTGTATGGGGGAAGAGAGGGTGACAGGGTGCAGGGTGTATGGGGGAAGAGAGGGTGACAGGGTGCAGGGTGTATGGGGGAAGAGAGGGTGACAGGGTGCAGGGTGTGGGGGGAAGAGAGGGTGACAGGGTGGGTGGGTGTGGGGGAAGAGAGGGTGACAGGGTGGGTGGGTGTATGGGGGAAGAGAGGGTGACAGGGTGCAGGGTGGGTGTATGGGGGAAGAGAGGGTGACAGGGTGCAGGGTGGGTGTATGGGGGAAGAGAGGGTGACAGGGTGCAGGGTGTATGGGGGAAGAGAGGGTGACAGGGTGCAGGGTGTATGGGGGAAGAGAGGGTGACAGGGTGCAGGGTGTATGGGGGAAGAGAGGGTGACAGGGTGACAGGGTGTATGGGGGAAGAGAGGGTGACAGGGTGCAGGGTGTGGGGGGGAAGAGAGGGTGACAGGGTGGGTGGGTGTATGGGGGAAGAGAGGGTGACAGGGTGCAGGGTGTGGGGGGGAAGAGAGGGTGACAGGGTGGGTGGGTGTATGGGGGAAGAGAGGGTGACAGGGTGGGTGGGTGTATGGGGGAAGAGAGGGTGACAGGGTGCAGGGTGTGGGGGGGAAGAGAGGGTGACAGGGTGCAGGGTGTGGGGGGGAAGAGAGGGTGACAGGGTGGGTGGGTGTATGGGGGAAGAGAGGGTGACAGGGTGCAGGGTGTGGGGGGGAAGAGAGGGTGACAGGGTGGGTGGGTGTATGGGGGAAGAGAGGGTGACAGGGTGCAGGGTGGGTGTATGGGGGAAGAGAGGGTGACAGGGTGCAGGGTGTATGGGGGAAGAGAGGGTGACAGGGTGGGTGTGGGGGGGAAGAGAGGGTGACAGGGTGCAGGGTGTATGGGGGAAGAGAGGGTGACAGGGTGGGTGTGGGGGGAAGAGAGGGTGACAGGGTGGGTGGGTGTATGGGGGAAGAGAGGGTGACAGGGTGCAGGGTGGGTGTATGGGGGAAGAGAGGGTGACAGGGTGCAGGGTGTGGGGGGGAAGAGAGGGTGACAGGGTGGGTGGGTGTATGGGGGAAGAGAGGGTGACGGGGTGCAGGGTGTATGGGGGAAGAGAGGGTGACAGGGTGCAGGGTGTATGGGGGAAGAGAGGGTGACAGGGTGCAGGGTGGGTGTGGGGGGGAAGAGAGGGTGACAGGGTGCAGGGTGTATGGGGGAAGAGAGGGTGACAGGGTGACAGGGTGGGTGTATGGGGGAAGAGAGGGTGACAGGGTGACAGGGTGGGTGTATGGGGGAAGAGAGGGTGACAGGGTGCAGGGTGTATGGGGGAAGAGAGGGTGACAGGGTGCAGGGTGTATGGGGGAAGAGAGGGTGACAGGGTGACAGGGTGGGTGTATGGGGGAAGAGAGGGTGACAGGGTGACAGGGTGGGTTTATGGGGGAAGAGAGGGTGACAGGGTGGGTGGGTGTATGGGGGAAGAGAGGGTGACAGGGTGGGTGTATGGGGGAAGGGAGGGTGACAGGGTGGGTGTATAGGGGAAGAGAGGGTGACAGGGTGCAGGGTGTATGGGGGAAGAGAGGGTGACAGGGTGGGTGTATAGGGGAAGAGAGGGTGACAGGGTGCAGGGTGGGTGTATGGGGGAAGAGAGGGTGACAGGGTGGGTGGGTGTATGGGGGAAGAGAGGGTGACAGGGTGACAGGGTGGGTGTATGGGGGAAGAGAGGGTGACAGGGTGCAGGGTGTATGGGGGAAGAGAGGGTGACAGGGTGCAGGGTGTGGGGGGAAGAGAGGGTGACAGGGTGACAGGGTGGGTGTATGGGGCAAGAGAGGGTGACAGGGTGGGTGGGTGTATGGGGGAAGAGAGGGTGACAGGGTGCAGGGTGTATGGGGGAAGAGAGGGTGACAGGGTGCAGGGTGTGGGGGGAAGAGAGGGTGACAGGGTGACAGGGTGGGTGTATGGGGGAAGAGAGGGTGACAGGGTGGGTGGGTGTATGGGGGAAGAGAGGGTGACAGGGTGCAGGGTGTATGGGGGAAGAGAGGGTGACAGGGTGCAGGGTGGGTGTATGGGGGAAGAGAGGGTGACAGGGTGCAGGGTGTATGGGGGAAGAGAGGGTGACAGGGTGCAGGGTGTATGGGGGAAGAGAGGGTGACAGGGTGACAGGGTGTATGGGGGAAGAGAGGGTGACAGGGTGCAGGGTGTGGGGGGGAAGAGAGGGTGACAGGGTGGGTGGGTGTATGGGGGAAGAGAGGGTGACAGGGTGCAGGGTGTGGGGGGGAAGAGAGGGTGACAGGGTGGGTGGGTGTATGGGGGAAGAGAGGGTGACAGGGTGGGTGGGTGTATGGGGGAAGAGAGGGTGACAGGGTGCAGGGTGTGGGGGGGAAGAGAGGGTGACAGGGTGCAGGGTGTGGGGGGAAGAGAGGGTGACAGGGTGACAGGGTGGGTGTATGGGGGAAGAGAGGGTGACAGGGTGGGTGGGTGTATGGGGGAAGAGAGGGTGACAGGGTGCAGGGTGTATGGGGGAAGAGAGGGTGACAGGGTGACAGGGTGTGGGGGGGAAGAGAGGGTGACAGGGTGGGTGCGTGTATGGGGGAAGAGAGGGTGACAGGGTGACAGGGTGTGGGGGGGAAGAGAGGGTGACAGGGTGCAGGGTGTATGGGGGAAGAGAGGGTGACAGGGTGACAGGGTGTGGGGGGGAAGAGAGGGTGACAGGGTGCAGGGTGTATGGGGGAAGAGAGGGTGACAGGGTGCAGGGTGTGGGGGGGAAGAGAGAGTGACAGGGTGGGTGGGTGTATGGGGGAAGAGAGGATGACAGGGTGCAGGGTGTGGGGGGGAAGAGAGGGTGACAGGGTGGGTGGGTGTATGGGGGAAGAGAGGGTGACGGGGTGCAGGGTGTATGGGGGAAGAGAGGGTGACAGGGTGGGTGGGTGTATGGGGGAAGAGAGGGTGACAGGGTGCAGGGTGTATGGGGGAAGAGAGGGTGACAGGGTGCAGGGTGGGTGTGGGGGGGAAGAGAGGGTGACAGGGTGCAGGGTGTATGGGGGAAGAGAGGGTGACAGGGTGACAGGGTGGGTGTATGGGGGAAGAGAGGGTGACAGGGTGACAGGGTGGGTGTATGGGGGAAGAGAGGGTGACAGGGTGCAGGGTGTATGGGGGAAGAGAGGGTGACAGGGTGCAGGGTGTATGGGGGAAGAGAGGGTGACAGGGTGACAGGGTGGGTGTATGGGGGAAGAGAGGGTGACAGGGTGACAGGGTGGGTGTATGGGGGAAGAGAGGGTGACAGGGTGGGTGGGTGTATGGGGGAAGAGAGGGTGACAGGGTGGGTGTTTGGGGGAAGGGAGGGTGACAGGGTGGGTGTATAGGGGAAGAGAGGGTGACAGGGTGCAGGGTGTATGGGGGAAGAGAGGGTGACAGGGTGGGTGTATAGGGGAAGAGAGGGTGACAGGGTGCAGGGTGGGTGTATGGGGGAAGAGAGGGTGACAGGGTGGGTGGGTGTATGGGGGAAGAGAGGGTGACAGGGTGACAGGGTGGGTGTATGGGGGAAGAGAGGGTGACAGGGTGACAGGGTGGGTGTATGGGGAAGAGAGGGTGACAGGGTGCAGGGTGTGGGGGGGAAGAGAGGGTGACAGGGTGCAGGGTGTGGGGGGAAGAGAGGGTGACAGGGTGACAGGGTGGGTGTATGGGGGAAGAGAGGGTGACAGGGTGGGTGGGTGTATGGGGGAAGAGAGGGTGACAGGGTGCAGGGTGTATGGGGGAAGAGAGGGTGACAGGGTGCAGGGTGTATGGGGGAAGAGAGGGTGACAGGGTGGGTGTATGGGGGAAGAGAGGGTGACAGGGTGGGTGGGTGTATGGGGGAAGAGAGGGTGACAGGGTGGGTGGGTGTATGGGGGAAGAGAGGGTGACAGGGTGCAGGGTGTATGGGGGAAGAGAGGGTGACAGGGTGCAGGGTGTATAGGGGAAGAGAGGGTGACAGGGTGGGTGTATGGGGGAAGAGAGGGTGACAGGGTGGGTGGGTGTATGGGGGAAGAGAGGGTGACAGGGTGCAGGGTGTATGGGGGAAGAGAGGGTGACAGGGTGCAGGGTGTATAGGGGAAGAGAGGGTGACGGGGTGCAGGGTGTATGGGGGAAGAGAGGGTGACAGGGTGGGTGTATGGGGGAAGAGAGGGTGACAGGGTGACAGGGTGGGTGTATGGGGGAAGAGAGGGTGACGGGGTGCAGGGTGTATGGGGGAAGAGAGGGTGACAGGGTGCAGGGTGTGGGGGGAAGAGAGGGTGACAGGGTGCAGGGTGGGTGTATGGGGGAAGAGAGGGTGACGGGGTGCAGGGTGTATGGGGGAAGAGAGGGTGACAGGGTGCAGGGGGGGGGAGAAGAGGGTGTGACAGGGTGACAGGGTGGGTGTTGGGGGGAAGAGAAGGTGACAGGGTGCAGGGTGTATGGGGGAAGAGAGGGTGATGGGTGCAGGGTGGGTGTATGGGGGAAGAGAGGGTGATGGGGTGGGTGGGTGTTGGGAGAAGAGGGGGTGATGGGGTGCAGGGTGGGGGGGTGAAGAGAGGGTAACAGGGTGTGTTTGGAGAAGAGGGGGTGACGGGGTGCAGGGTGGGGGGAGAAGAGAGGGTGACAGGGTGTGTTTGGAGAAGAGGGGGTGACGGGGTACGGGGTGTGTGGGGAGAAGAGGGGTGACGGGGTGCAGGGTGGTGTACAGGAGAAGAGAGGGTGACAGAACCACGTACCAGCCTGCGGATCTCTCGCTCACACTCCTTCTTGATGCGCGTGATCTCCTCCTGGTGTAAGTGGTACACGCTCCTGATCTCTGCGGCCTTCATCTTGTCGGCCTGGATGGCAATGGTCAGAGCCTCCTCTGCCTGCTTCTTGGCTCCCTTGAGCTCCGAGATCTCCTGCTGCATCTTCACCTTCTCCACCTCGAAGCCCTTCTTAGCCTCCTCCTTGGCCTCGCATAAAAGCACTGTCTTGACTCTGTCGGGCGCACCGTCTCGCATGGTGCTGAGCAGCGCCTGCAGCCGCTGGTTCTCGTTGTCCTTGATCTTGATGACCCGCAGCAGCTCGGCCTCGTGCTGCCGGAGCAGCGCCTCCCGCACGGCCTGCAGCTCCTTCATCTTCTCCTCGTGGAGCTTGCTCTTGAGCTCGGTGACCAGGACCGCGTGCTTGCGCTGCTCGTGCTCACGAACCTGCCTCAGCTCCTGGCTCTTTTCCCGCTCCACTCGGCTGACCTGAAAGACAGGAGAGACCAGAGTGGCCGGAGCCCTCAGCAGCCGCGCCTGGGAGATGGCCGGGTCCCCAGCAGACACACCTGCTGGGAGGTTCAGAATCTCCAGCAGCTGCACCTGCTGGAAGCTGGAAACTGCCTTGCATTCTGTAACATGTAACATGTCAATTAAAACCCTAATCAAACCTTGGTCAGCAGCATGGATGTGTCCCCATGGACACATGTGCAGCACGTGTGGTGTTCTAGGCAAAGTCCCAGCCCCGAAGAAGCCCCACGTGGAGCAGGGGCCCTGAGGGTCTGCACCCAGGCTCGGTGCTCCAGCCAGCCTCTGCCCAACCCCGCCAGTGCCCACTCCCAGCAGCTCACCTTCTGTGTCACCCCTGTGACGAACCATCCCCACTGTGTATGCAGATGATGCCTGGTCTCAGGGGTTGGAAAACACTGGGACAGCTGAGCAGATTCTCATCCCAAAGCTTATACTAAATGGTCTCGGTCCCACAGCCTGGCACAAGTGCCCAGCTGAACCCCAATGTGCCCATCTGCCCTGCAGGCAGGGGAGGTCTCGGTGCATTTAGGATATAGGCAGATGGAAAGAGGGCCTCACCCCACACTCAACCTCATTCCCCGGCAGACCAGTCCGCAGAGAGCTCTGGAACTGGGGCACCAGCCCCCCACAGGCTGGCAACTTCATGCTTGGTATTCTGCATTCTTTCCCCACCCAGCAGTAGCTCTGGTCCCCAACACCTGGGCCTGCCTCTCCCCTCCTCCTCAATCCCTTCCCTCTCAGAGGGTCTCCCTCCTCTTCCCTCTGCCGAATGTCATGCTGGAAAGCGTGGCCTGCACCTCTGCGGTTCTAGACACTGCTCCACAAGCTGCTCTGTCCTCATGGCCCAGGCTGCCACACCACACCATTCACCACCCACAGTTCACCATGATGTTCTGACAAAAGCTGACTTACAAAAGGGAGGCTCCCCCTGGCGCACAGCGTGGGGTCCCACCCAAGGTCAGTCATGTGTCCCTAGCTTTAGGCCTATGGTGAGGAAGTGTATTGTGGCAGAAGCAGCTGGCAGAGCAAAGCCATTCACCTCATGGCCAGACACAAAGGAGAGGAAGAGGAAGGGCAGGTCTCACAGTATCCTTCAAGAAAAACTCCAGTGACTTGGGCTGGGAAGGTGGCTCAGTGGTACAGCGTATGCCTTGCATGCCAGAGGCCCTGGGTTCGATTCCTCAGCACTACATAAGAAAAAAGCCAAAAGTGGCACTGTGGCTCAAGTGGTAGAGTGCTATTCTTGAGCTGAAGAGCTGACATGAGGTGGGCAGGAAGAGGTTGCTGATGGCTTCCTATGTGCAGTTCCTCCCCAGTCCTCCCCCACCTTCCCCTTCCTCCTGACATGGCGTGGGCAGGAAGAAGGGAATAGCAACAGGGAGAAGCTGGGGAACAGGTGCCACTCGATCCTGGTTCAGGATGTTGCCCAACACCCTGCTCCACTGCTGTCCTGGGGCGACGGTGACTGTGATGAGGCACCCTGACACAAGGGCCAGGGGTTCCCAGCACCGACCCCACAGAGGCTTTCCCACCTCAGAGACCAGCCACGGCCTTGGCTTCCATCTCACTCCAGCTGTGGTTTCATGCACACACTTCCCTCAAACCACCATCTTGGCCTGAGGACACCTTCCTTAAACCACTCCTGGTTCCCTGGTTCTTGGAAATAGCCTTCAACTTCTTGGAAGTCACCACAAATGTCTATATACCCTGATTATACTCATTAGAATAGTCATTAATCCCTGCGCATACCAGTCCCTAGACTGGAAGCTCAGGGATGCCTGCCTGACTGGACAAGATACCTGCCCTCTCTCTCCTGGGGTGCCAGACCACTTGACACCTGCCCTCTCTCTCCTGGGGTGCCAGACCACTTGATAATCAGCTCTTCTCTAATATAATCTGGTTCTTGTTTAAATTTGCTCTGATAAAGACTCTTCTGTGAAAAAGATGGAGCAAAGGGCCAGCTAATTCAACAGTTGATACTCACTAGACTGTGATAAGGCACCCTGGTTGTAAATACCTGACAAATGCGACTATCTTGAAACTAAAGCAGCACCCCGCCCTCGGGACTACTTCCTTATGGTTTGACATTTTAAAATATATGTATCTACTGTTCCATTTATGTTCCTACGTAACGGTCATGCTACCCTCGCTCAATACTGTGTTTGGCTTCTACAACTTCCCACTTGGCCTGCACTTGCAGGAAAGAACCGTTAGACTTTCCACCCTTTGGACAAACAAGGACATAAATATTTGAATAACAGGAGTCTTGAGAACCAGCTCAGGATTACACTTGGGGACTTGCTGGCCCAGTGTGGCCATCCACTGGCTAATAAAGACTTTCTGTTGGCTGTACTCTGTGTCTATGTGGTCTCTCCTGGTGGTTTACCTCACAACAAGACACTATGTTGGAAATGAACAATACAACTTGTGGGGGAGGGAGTTCAGGAGAGAAAAACTGGGAGAAAATGGGACAAGGTGACACTGTTCAAAAAGTAATATGCCTGAATTACCTGAATGCAACTGTAACCTCTCTGTATGTCACCTTGACAATAAAAATTAGTAATAAAAAAAGACTCTTCTATGAGTCTGCTTCTGGATTCTTTGGTGAAACTACTGACTTGCCATCTGTCTCCTCATCCCTAAGAAGTTAAGCTTCAATCACCCACCACCAAAGCATTTGCTGCAACCTTCATTTATGTTTTTGGTGGGCCTGGGGGTTCACTCAGGGCCTTGCAGTTGTTAGGCAGGCTATCACTTGAGCCATGCCTCCAGCCCTTCTTATGCTTTAGATTTTTCTAGGGTAGGGCTTCAACTTTTTGCCTAGGCTATGGTTCTTCCATTTATGCTTTCTGTGAGGCTAGGATTACAGGTATTCACCACCATGCCCAGATATTTGTAGAGATGTGGGATTTGCTAGCTTTTTGCATCTCTACCTCTGTATACCTGGGTTTACAGGTATGAGCCACTATGTCTGGTCTATTGGAAGCTTTTACTCATGTAGAAACAAACATCACAGTTTGCAACAGTACTGAACTGTAACAGCTTCTTGACATTCAAATTATGTATGTGCTGTTTATCAGACATTCTGTTTCCTGCTATTGAACATTTATGTGATTTTTAATGCCCTCATAGTATTTTCCTTTACTGATATATGTTGAACAGTGTACTGATATAAACACATTGACATGATAAATTGACTTAAATAGCTGCTGTACTTGAATAGTTTGTCCCAAAGGGGTTTCCATATGTGGTCAATTCAAACTGGTTTGCAGTGAAAGTGGGTTATAACTTGACAACACGAGCATTCTCTTGTAGCTAAGCAACAGCCTCAGGCGGGAACAGCAGCCACTCCTCCGCCAATCCCAGGCTGGGGCTCTGAAACAAGGCCCAATGACAAGGCAGCCCCACCCGGGTTTCCCGGGTCATTTCCTGTCTCTCGGATTATAAAGTCAGTTTTCAAGAGGAACACTGGGACCCAAACCCATCTGGAGTTCTACCTGGCTCCAGAAGACTGTCTTGCTCAAGTAAAATTTGTTAAATAAAACTGGCCTCAATTCTCCTTTCCAAGGAGATTTTTTTTAAGTAAGCTAATCCATTTTTTAATGGATTTCACATTTGAAGGTATGATTCTGATGGCCATTATATTTATGTGGTGCATTATTTTTCCTCATGTAAGTATTCACATTTATAGGCACTTAAAGTTTCATTTCACATAGAAATTATACTGGTGTAAATTGTGAGTAAATCAACCTTATCCCCAGAATATTAGTCAGTTGTCTCAATTCTATTTGTAGTCCAGCCAACCCTTCCTCTGCTTTCTGCTTACTGGAACATTTCTTTTACGCACCAGGGTTCTTTGAGGTAAAGAATAACTTTAAAATGCATTTAACTCAGATCAAATTCACAGAGGAAGGGCAGAGGGTTGTGCAGATGAGCTGTATAAGGAGGAGCCAGGTTGGCTGGGCACCTTCGAGCACTGGGATTGCTGAAGGAGTCAGCTCACCAGTGTGGAAATCCACTTGGCCACAAGCAGGGTGCTGGTAAGGTAGTGTTAGAACTGCAAGGAAGGGAGAGGAAGGGAAAGGGGAGGAGGGGCTCTGCAAAGGACAGGAGGGGAGCCATACAGCCACACAGAAGCACCGTATATTTGCCTGTTTCTTGGGGACCTCTGGCCTTCCTCTCCCAGGGGCTGGTGTCAAGCCACAGTGGCCTGGTCCTGTCCAGTTGTAGGGATGATTTGGGGAGAAATTGAGCCAGAGGAAGAAAAGTCCAGCACAGGCCTCTGCTCTCCATGGCCAGAGGAAGGGGAGCAGACATGGGATCAGGACAGGCCAAGGAGAATGGACAAGAACTGGAGGTGGTGGATGTGGACACTTGCCAGGCCTCAGGGGACACTTGTGGCCAAACACTGCCTTTTCCAAGGATGAGTCACCCATCTTGCCTGGACTGGCCATCTAGAGGTCTCCTTTCCAGTGCTCAAAAGCCAAACTGGGGTCCGGGAGGGGCTTGGTGTAGAGCATCAGCCTAGCATTCCTGAGGCCGAGCACTATAAAACAGCCAAGCAATTCACCCACATCACTCAGGACAGATCAGGCCAGCAGTCCCACAGGGTGGACAGTGCCAGACTGTTCATGAGAGATCCAAGATCTACACACTCCCGGTGGTGACCACAACTTGCTGGAGATACCTAACCAGGAGGGAGTGTTTCAGGAACCACTGTGCTGGGCCCAGAGCAGAAAGGACTGCTTTGCCTAGGAAGAGGAAGGTGGCTCTAACAGCCGACAGGCTGGGGGAAGGGGGTCGGGGGGGGGGGGGGCGGCAGACAGGGGCTGGGGAGGGCAGCAGGTTGGAGAGCACAGCAGGCTGGAAGGCACTGCCCATGCCATAGTAGCAGGAATTTGAGTCAAAGTTGTGTTTGGTTGCTGAGGTAGCACTGCTGTTGTTTTAATGTAGAGCACAAGGCTCTGCTTCTGAGAAGCAGCAACACAATGGCTCGGGGTCCTGAGCCCTGCTGCTGGGACCGCCCGGCATAAATAAATGCTTGCTCCTCACCGACAGGGCAGGTGAGGCTGCACGGCTAGGAGCCTGTGTCTCATCATACAAGGAGCTTCTGGCACTTTCCTTTGTGGGTACAACAGCCATATGCATTTATAATGTCACAAAATGTTTATAGCTCTCAAATAAGAATTAACAAAACTGTTGAGCCCCCTAGAAAGCTCAAAGGTTTATAGAGAATTTTAAATTAAATGAATGATATAATGCCCCTGAGACCCTACTCCCTGGCTGCTGAGAAACGCTCAAACCACATTTTCACTAAAAAGGATTTTTCCTCCAGCATTGCTATTTCCATGTAAACTCCAGCAGTGAGTGCTCTAGAATTCAGGGTCATCCTTAAAGATCAACATCTGAAGGACTATTTTCTGTCTGTGAACAGACATGAAGCAGAGTGCCTACCCCTGAGATACCTGAGCTGCTCCCCGAGTTGTCTGCCAGTGTCTGTACCAATGGTCTTTCCATTTAAATTTCACCAGAAATTGATCAAGAATAAGAAGAAACTACAGCTGGGCACTGGTGGCTCAAGCCTACAATCCTAGCTACTCAGGAAGCTGAGATCTGAGGATGGAGGTTCAAAGCCCGCCTGGGCAGGTTCACCAGTGAGACTCTTATCTCCAATGAACCACCAGAAAATAGGAAGTGGTGCTGTGGCTCAAGTGGTAGAGTACTTGCCTTGAGCTGAAGAGCTGAGGGACAGTATCTAGGCTCAGAATTCAAGCCCCACAACAAAGAAGAAAAAGGAAGAGGAGGAAGAGGAGGAGGAGGAGGAGGAAGGGGAAGGAGAAAGGGATAGGGGAAGAGAAAGAAGAGAGGAAGAGGAAGAGGAGGAAAAAGAAGAAGAGGAGGAGTAGGAGGAGGAAGACGACGACGACAAAGATGACAACTGTAACACAAGCACCACAGCTTGGGACAGCTACTGCCCAGGCCTGGTCTGACTACTGTCGAGTCCTGGCATCTCCTGAAGGCAGGCACTCGGAGGCCTTTCTGGTCATCTGGTGACCTCTGGTTATCAGAGTCCTGGTCCCACACAACCTGTTTGTGTGATGATTGCAGAGCAGGCTACCATGCACAGCGGCTGGCACTAATTAGGATAGATTGGCTCTGTTAATGGAGTTGGAGCCACACACTGCACACTTTTACCAAGCTTCAGCTGGGCATAGTACTCACTCACTGTTGTTTTCCCATATCCTGGGAAAATAAGTATTGAGACTGGTTAATGGATATGATAAGAGATGTTCAAGTATGGAAGAAGTCAGCTGGATTTCTATATGTCATCAGAAATGAATTAGGAATGAAAATGGTAAGATGGACCATTCATAGTGGTATGGTAAACACCAAACACCTATGAACACAAGTTAAGAAGTCTTTCCAGGCTCTCTGTACTGAGAGCACAGTATATTGAGAACAAGTTTAAACAGGCTTCCAAAATTGGAGACTACATCCCATTTATGAATTTAAAGACCACTGATTATAAGCAAGCTAGCTTCCCCTGCGGTAACCTATAGAGCCAGAGCCACAATCTAAAGGAGGCGCTCTACAAAAGTAGAAATTGACAGGTGAATTCAATACATGAATGGAAAGGCAAAGAACCAAGACTAACTAAAAACAAAGTGAGAATGCACACTACGTGACCACGGCTTGTCAGGAGAAATTAGTGCAGGTTCTGGACAAAGGGAAACCAACAATGTGACATGGCCTCCATCCATAGCTCCTGCTGAGAACCATCCTCTGCTGCCCCTGCTGAAGTAGCCATCTTGCTGTTTCCTACATGCCCCTGGCCAGCTGACGAGGGCTGATCGGGGCTGGCTTGGGTGGTGGCCACGAGGCTCTAGTCTGGATGTGTCCTGGTGAAGGCAAGGAGAAGAAGCAGAAGAACTTGCTTGGGCCTGGCCCAGCCCGCTGCTGCACTGACCACAGCAAAGCAGGATTCAGAGTCATTTGACCAAGGGCATCATGCAGGAGGGGTCATGTCTGTGCCCACTGCACAGACTTACACAGTAGGCCCCCTAGGAAAGCACACACTGCAGAGGGTGCGTAAGGCCAATCCCATACCTGTACAGAGCCTTGGCACCTACTCTCCTCGTACACAAAAGTTAACTCTTGGTGGTTTTGGACACATGAAAGGCAAAACCACAGAACTCTTGGGAGGAAATAGGGAAGGATCTCCTGACCTTGGTCCACGCAAAGAGGAAACAACTTGTAGGGCACGCTGCACAAAGATGCCATCTGTCCTTCTCAGGTGCTCTCAGACTCAGGGGACTATCTCCCCGGTCACAGCCTCACGTGACGATCACCTCTCTGGCAGTAAACACCCTCCCCAGCATTGTCTGCAGTGCATGCAGAGTGATCTGCTTGTAGGCCGGCCCTGATTTTCTTGGCATTTCCTAACCTGGCTACTGCCAGTTCTCTTCATGTTTCCAGGAGAGCTGAAGTCAATGCTCTAAACATTTGTGCATGTATCTGACTATCTGCCCTGGGACCAATGTCTCAAAAGCCGGCCACATCCTTCAGGCCCTCTGCCCGCTGCCTGTCACCAGTGCAGTGGGGTGAGCCCCGTCTTCACCAGTGTATGAGGGTGTCTGCTTTCCCACCCACCCCACCGCCAGGGACCAGCAGAGGGCTACCATGCTGGTGCACACACCTCTGCATGCATTCACATTTTGGTCATCTTCCAAGAGGTTTTGGCCATTTGTACTATTTCCTGAGCCTTAATACAGAATCCTGAAAGGTGGAAGTTGGATTGCCAAATCAGGTCAGGACCTATTAGTGAACCGTGCATTCGGTGACTCATGTTGAAACGAGGCGGACACAGTGCCCCAGTCACAAGGCAGGTGCTCTCTCACTACAGGTCATGCTACGGAATGTGGGATGGTCACAGACTTTCAAAACCCACAAATAATCTCTGGTCTAGAAATCCAAAGTATTTCGTCTCTTCCCTTATGCATGGGAAATATGGACAGGCTATAGAGACAGGGCTGTAAAGACACAGTAGGCAGGGCCAGATAGGGGCAGGGAGAGATGAGGATAGGGAGAAATGAGGATAGGGAGAAACAGGGGGCAGGGAGAGACAGGGGGCAGAGAGAGATGGGGGGGCATGGAGAGATGGGGGCAGGGAGAGACAGGGGGCAGAGAAAGATGGGGGGGGCAGGGAGAGATGGGGGCAGGGAGAGATGAAGACAGGGAGAGACAGGGGGTAGGGAGAGCCAAGGGGCAGGGAGAGACGTGGGGGGACAGAAAGAGTAAGGGGAGGGGCTGACCTGCATAAGACAAGAACATGAACATTAAGATACCCACAAAGGTGAACACACAGCCCTCCGGGAAGAGGGTGCATTTGCCTTTTCAAAATTCCAAGCGGTACATAACTCTCTGTAAAATCTACAGAATCTTCTGGAAGCACTAGAAGGTGGGCATGGAGCAAGGCGAGGGTCCCAGCCCAGGTGCGACTCGGGGGAAGGACTGGGCCTCTGCAGGCAGCCAGTCTAGGGCAGGGGAGGCCTCTGGGTCCCTCCGCAGACCTGCCGGAGGGGCGGGGCCTGCTCTAGCGTCACCAGGTGTGGTCCCTGGGGGCAGCATAGCCACACTCAAGCTTCCCCGTGTTCATGTGGCCCCACATGAACACACTTTGCAGGGATCGCCACTGTGCCCAAGGAGCCATGGACGCCTGCCGTGCACACCCGCACAGAGCGCTGCCATGCACAGGGCTCTCTGATTCATCACCCTGAGTTTGCAGTTACCAACATGGCCTCTGCCCCCAGGACACTCCCATCACCTCAACTCCACTGTCTCCCAGAGCCCTGGCCTACGCTGCCTTGAGGATCTGGAGGCTGGAAGACAAGAACACGGCACCTCTGCAGAGGCCTGGCTCTGTGGCTATGTTACCCCCCCTCCCCGCCCCCAGCCCGAGGAAGCACCTCCTGACTTGGGCAGGGCACTAGGAAGGGGGGTATGTATGTGGATTGGGGTCGAGGCCCACCTTGCTCTTCTCCTGTTGCAGCTCAATCTGGATGTCGGTGAGCTTGGTCCGCAGCTCCTCGTTGGCGGCCTGCAGCGCGGTGAAGGCCTCTGCCTTGTCCCCCTTGGCCCGGCTGCCCGCACTCTTCTTTGACATGGTGAGGCTGGATGGCCAGAGGGACAACAGGGGCTGAGTGTCCACACCAAGCTGCTGGCAGGTGTCGCTCGGCTGTCGCTCTGCTACATTTTCTCGCTCACCTGGAGGAAAAGCGCACCTTGGTGAGCAGGGTGCACATGGCCAGACACCCTAGTGCCACCTCAGCCACAGAGCCTTGACCCAAGCTGGGGCAAGGACAGGGGCACTGCTGACTCCTCCCAGCCCTGTCCTAGTGCCATGGACCCAGCCAGGGCCCTGCCCTGGCTGCGCTAGAACCAGCACGGCACACAGTGGCCACCCTATGCGGTATCCCCACAAAGAACATTGTACCGCCCAGCAAATTCTTTAGGACCAGTAGACTGGGCACTACTTTAAAGCCAGAATGTCTTACACAAGTGAGGCACAGAATAGTGACAGTCGGTATAAACCATGGGCTTCTACAGTAGAGTGCAAGCCCAGGACCCCTGGCTCCCAGGGCTGGATGCACCAGCCGAGCCCAAGAAATATCCAAAATGCCAAAAGCCCACCCAGATGCTGGTGGCTCACATGGCTCATGCCTGTCATCCTAGCTACTCACAGGAGGCTGAGATCTGAGGATGGCAGCTCAAATCCAGTTTGGGCTGGAAAATCCACATGATTCTTATCTCCAATTAACCACCAGAGAACTGGAAGTAGAGCTGTAACTCAAAGTACTACAGCACTAGACTTGAAGAAGAGAAGAAAAGCTCAAGGACAGTGCCCAGGCCTTGAATTCAAACCCTATGACCAACCAAATCAAACGCTGAAAGTCAGGTCTGCCATGTTCAGAGTAGTAACACTGACAAAAACCAAGCAATGGAAGTGCCCTGAGTGTGTGGAGGGACAGAAGTCGCACTGTCACAAGTCACCAGCGACCTCTCCCCACTGCTCCTAAAGAGACGGGAACTCCACAAACCACACGTACCATATCACGGGACAGCTGCCACAGCAGAGCACCAACAAGAGAACAATGAGGAGCCAGTGGCTGGGAAGAGGCAGAAAGGAGTTTTTGTTTTTATGGGTCAGAGATCCAGGTTTAGAGATGAAAATGTTACGGCAGTATGAAAATGGCTAACACAAAAAAAAAAAAAAAAAAAAAAAAGAAAATGGCTAACACTTTTGAACTGCTGAGACTGTCACTTTGACGTATTTTTTTCCACCATTTTTAAAATCTTTAAAAAACAAGCAAATAGTCAGGCACCGGTGGCTCATGCCTATAATCCTAGCTACACAGGAAGCTGAGATCTGAGGATTGTGTTTCAAAGCCAGACTTGGCAGGTACACCCCTGATACTCTCATCTCCAATGAACCACCAGAAAACTGGAAGTGGCATGGTGGCTCAATTAGTAGAGCACTTGCCTTGAGCTGAGGAGCTCAGGGCTAGCATCTAGGCCAAGAGTTAAAGCCCCATGACCAACAACAACAACAAAAACAAGCAAACTTCACTCTGGGAGGCAGCCATCAGCATAGGAATTTGGGTGTGAAGACCACACACATCCAGTCCGTCACACGGACACCAATAACTCCACTGGAGCCCAGAAGGCTCTGTCAGTCGCCCTGGAGTAGGAAGGCTGTGTTGTTGTCCTTAGAAAATGGGAGGGGGGAGGTTGGGGAGAGTGGACCCAGGGAGAATGTCATGCGCAGATCAGAGCAATGCTGACACAAGTTGAGGACCCAGACCAAGCCGAGAACCTGGGCCCTCCTGCCTATAGGGGTGTGGTGGAACAAGGTGACCTTGGATCCTGGCCTCCAGGACTGTGAAAGAATCAATGTCTGTTTAATCCACTCTGTCTGTGGTACCGTCACACACTGCATCAGGACTTTTTTTTTTTTTGTCAGTCATGGGTCTGAGCTCCCGGCCTGGGCACTGGCCCTCAGCTCTTCAGCTCAAGGCTAGCACTCTACCACTTGAGCCACAGCCCTCCTTCCGGCTTTTTCTGCTTATGTGGTGCTGAGGAATTGAACCTAGGGCCTCATGCATGAAAGGCAAGCACTCTACCACTGAGACACCTTCTCAGCAGATCGGGACATTTTAGTTAGCAATTGTGACAGTTAATCTTGACTATCAACTGAACTGGATTAAGAACTGCCTAGGAGGTTGGTGCTGCTCACCTCTGGGTGTCTGCAGGGCATTTCCAGGGAGATTAACTGAGGATTGGGGAGGCTGCCCTGAATGTGGGTGGCACTGTCCTATAGACTGGGGTCCTGGGTAGAATAAAAGCAAAAGGGCAAAGGTCACCAAGGCAGGTGCCTGCCAGTAATCCCAGCCCAGAAGGACAAGGCTAGGAGATGCTGCCTGCTGCTGACCTCTGGTGGAAGAGTGGCACAGTGCTCACGTGAGGGTCTGGGGCTTCCCTGCATAGATAGGGGCTGACCTGCAACGTTCATGCCTGGATCTAGGCTGTTTGCCTATTCAAACCAGTACATACCATTTAGCTATCAATTAAAAATATACTTAGAAGCCAGGGACTCATGCCTATAACCCTAGGTAATCAGGAGGCTGAGGTCCAGAGGATCATGGTTCAAAGCCAATCCAGGCAGAAAGGCCCTTGAGACTATCTCCAAAAAACCGTGAACAAACGAAAAACAAAACCTAGCACTGGGCTTGCTTATGTAAAATGTCAGGGAGCTTTCGGGTCTAGGATTAAAAAGGACAAGGCCCATTTCAGCTCACTAAGAATAGTGTTTGGTAATGGTAACTCTGAGTGTGTGTGTATATGAATATATATACACACATACACAGTGTAAGTATGTTTGTGGGGGAGTTGAACTTGGGGCCTCACATGCACTCATGTTGCTTGCTCAGCTGGGACTCTTCCACCCAAAGAGAACTCAGGGCAAAGCTTCATGACATTTTGGTTTGATGGTATTTTCTTGGACACAAATCCACTTCTGGGTATATACTCCAAAGTATTAAAATGTGTCAAAAAAAAAAGGTGTGCAAGAGATGTGCACACCCATGTTTCTAGCAGCATTGTCCACAACTGCCCAGAGGTGGAGGCCATCCCAGGTCTACCAACAGGCGAGTAAATAAACACAATGTGTCCTACACCTAAGATGGCATATTACTCAACCTTGAAAAGACAGGAACATGGATAAACCTGGAGGACATTACACAAAGTGAGTGATAATTATGAATAAGGCACCTGGAAACATCAGACTCAGAGACTGAAAGTGGAGTGGTGGTGGCTAGGGGCTGAGGAAGTAGAAATAGAGACCAAAAGCAAGACCCTGTCTCAAATAGCCAGGATGGCAAAAATGGGACTAGAGGCATAAATCAGCAGTAGAGTACATACCTAGCAAGCATGAGGTCCTGAGTTCCAATCCCAGTACTATTTGAAAAAAAGAAATAGTGTGCATTTCTATATTGTGACACCTGTTTTTTTATAAAAAAAATAACACCCCCCTCCTGGGTTGTACGATGTAGCTAACTATTGGAGGGGGGGTGAAAAAAACACTTTTTGATTCTAAAACCACAGAGGAGGGCTGGGAAGGTGGCTCAGTGGTAGAGCACTTGCCTTGCATGCATGAGGCCCTGGGTTCGATTCCTCATCACCACATAAGCAAAAAGAAAAAAGCCATAAGTGGCGCTGTGGCTCAAGTGGTAGAGCGCTAGCCTTGAGCTGAAGAGCTGAGGGACAGCGCCCAGGCCCAGAGTTCAGGCCCCATGACTAGACCCCCCAAAAAAAACCCACAGAGGAGTGAGAAGCATGGATTTCAGTCCAGGGGCCAGAAGGGGCTGGATGTTGTAACAAGTCCCATGACTTGTTTGCCACTTCCGGAAGGGAGGAGCCCATGCCAGGCTTCAGCTGAGGTGCTGTCAGGTAACGGCCGCTGTCTGAAGCTGGTACATGTGTGACAAGGGAGGAGGAAGCACACACAGGTAGGGCACCTGGAGGGGGCAGGGCTTTGCAGTGCTCTGCTTCTAGGTGGTGCCTACACATGGCACCAGACCACCTGTAGACCTGCAAACCAGAGGAAACCAGAGTCAACCAACTTCTCCTCCAGCAGGGAACCTCTGAAGCCACAGGTGTGGGTGGATGGGGAGGTGGTGGGCAGGGTAGGACAAGCACTGGCGTTATCTCCCCCGTGCATTTCCTTGTTGTGCCTCAGGCCTATTGACTGCATGGCTGCCAAGCCAATGCACAGCTCACCACAGGCTGCCACGACAGCTCAGGTTGCCGTAAGCGTGGCTACCATGGTCAGTACTGGACCTTCAGCAAGCCTCTACAGGCCAAGTGATCTCATCCTGGAAAGGTTGGACACAGCAGCTAGGAGAGATTAGACAGAAAAGGCTAAGAGCTTTACTGCCAACAGTCTGAATAGCAGCACAGTTTTGTTACATTGGTGGCCAGGTGTTTGTAAGGGATACCAAGCCCTGGAGAAGGCCCTGTCTTACATATGAGCATGTGATGTTACATTCCACAGGAAGGAGAGAATACTGTTTACAGACACTGACAGGACCTGCTGGCTAATGGTGAAGGAAGAACGAAATACCAGGTAGATTAAAGAAAATGATGGGGGTCGGGGGAGTATTCAATTACTGAGAACAAGGAAAAAGGGTCACTTATCAAATCTCTGGAGGGAAGAGCCTTCCAGGCTTGGAGAAGATAAAAGCATTCACAAAAGGAAAGATCAATAGATCCCTAGGTATCTTTATTATAGAAGAAGTGAAACAAATAAAGGTATCTTCACAGCCTTAGAAGGCTATGAAATTGTAAAACAGTAAGCTCTTACCAGATACACATAAATAGTAAAGAGATAATTTGTAAAAAGAGAAATAAAAGTGAATTTGAAAACCATGCAAGCTGGGCGTGGTGGCATACACCTGTGATCTCAGCAGTCAGGGAGCTGAGGCAGGGCAGTCATGAAGTAGGGGCCAGCCAGGGTTACAGCAAGACCCAGCCTCAAAGACAAACAGGGCTGCAGAGAGCTCCGTGGTACAGGGCTTGTCCCATATGCAGGAGTTTGATCCCCAGCTCTGCACATGCATGTGCATATGTGTACACGCACACGCACACACACACACACACACACACACACACACACACACACACACACACATGCATGCATGCAT